GTTGGTGTTTTGCCACCGTAACAGGCGAAAACAAAGGAGGTTCATTCAAGATAACGTAGCAAAAGCTGCCGGTATAGTACGAGTCCACAAGATGTGCCATATCACAGACACGGATGAGCAGCTGTCGTCAGTGCCGAGGTGCGAAGGTATGTTCTGGGAGCAAAAGCCTTACCTGGAAGCACGCAAACAAGAGTCCCTGGAGCACATTTGTAGCCTTGGCTGTCATGCTCACGAGCTCGTTCGGAACCGTACTGATGATTCAAGACTGAATTCTGTCGAGCAGGAATCGTCCTTGGGTTTGAAGCAGGCCATTGATCTGCTATGGCTGTGAGACATAGTATATATTTGCTGTAGAGCCTTCCCATGAGCAGGATTTACGGAGCAGGTTCGAAGCCGTCGGCAATGCATGTCAAGACAGTATGAACCTAAGGTGAGGAGTAGCAAGAGCGAAGGTGCTTTGAGCGGTCACGTGCCGGAAACTCAAGATGAGCGCTTCTGACCATGACTTTTCCGCAAATTTTATAGGCAACTCAGGCGTGACGGGGCGCTCACGTTGAGTTTCCGATACGTGGCGGTCCCGATAGATGTCGCTAAGGCCGTCTGAGCACACCATTACTGCTGCTGCACTAGTGAGCCTAGTCGACCGTAGCCGAAGCTCGCGCGGAACCTCACATGACGGAAGAGACTTGTATCAAGCAACGATATCGACTGCGACGTTGAGCTTTCCATCACAAAATCCACCATGCCACCCAATACCACAATGGCAGCATCAAATACAAAGCTCATACGCTCCCTCTGCGCCCTCCCACCATCCCTCCGCCAAACAATCCTCCTTCCCCGAGCGCAGCTAAATCCATCTCCATCAACACAACTTTCCATCTTCACCCGCCAACCCCTCCGCCACGCCACAACCAAAGCCCGCGTCCCCGAGAAGATCGAACCTCTAATCCCCCCACCCACACCAACCTCCGGCCCCCTCCTCGAACGCCTGCCCAACCGCGCCCTGCCCGCCCTCTCCCGCGGCCTCACCCCCGCAACAAAAACCTGGCTGCGAACCCTCCCCCTCTTCATCCTCCTCTGCGCCCTCGGCAGCTTCTCCATCTTCAACTACCAGAAATCGTCCTCATCGACCGTGTCATCCATCCTCTACGCGCTGCGTACATCACCTACAGTCCGCGAGTTACTAGGCGACGAGATCTACTTCAACAGCAAAATACCGTGGATCAGCGGGGAATTGAACCAGTTACATGGGCATATCGATATTAGCTTCTGGGTTAAGGGGACGAAGGGCGTGGGGTTGGTGAGGTTTGTGAGTGTTAGGAGGAGACGGGATGGGTATTTCGAGACGCTGGAGTGGAGTTTGACGATGGAGGATGGGAGGGTTTTGCAGTTGCTTGGGGCGGAGGGGGCTAGGGATCCGAATGCGGGTGCTGGTGCGGGTGGGCAGCGGATTGTGGTGGGCGAGGACGAGTTGTTGTGAGCAGAGGTGTTGGGATGTGATGGTTTCAGGTTGAGTTGGATTTCTACGGACGAGCTAGGCGATTTGTACAAAATATGAGCTGCGAGTGGAAAAATGCTCGCTCAAAGCTATGGCTGATCTTGGTAAATATGGCGTTGAAAGAACACGAGAGGCACTAGAGATTCGTGGATGATCGGATGATGGCCGCGCTGGAGCGGCTGGCACGTCTGCTCGGATTTGCAGTCATCTCATCATTATCGGCGTCACGTTGAGCTGGCTGATCATGCTATCTACACTAATGCTTCCACCATGAACTTGAAGCAGCATGAGGGTTACACCTCAGAACAGTAGAAAAGAGGAAAAGTGTACTCCGAAGTACACTACAACTGTGGTGATATAGTATATGAGGTGTGGGTTCCAACTAGAACGGCACAAAGTCCTCCTGCAGCGCTAGCTCGCCCGTCGTCTCCCCACGCACGATCACCTCAGGCTTTGCCTTCCATTCACCACCACTGACTAGCTCCCGTGTGGTTGTTTCTCCCATCGAAAGCGTCCGAACGGGCATTTTGAGCTTCATGCTCTCCTTCGCTCTTGCCTTGGCCACCTCTAGCTTCCGCCCAAGCGAGTCCTCCTTGGCTTTCTGCTTCATCATCTCTAGCACCTCTGGTACTTTGCCTCGCCAATGGATCTTGTGACAAGCGTGGCCTATCTCGCAATATCCTATCTTAGAGAACTGCTCACAAAGTGGTGAGAACGTATGCACAAAGTCATGATGGGCATAGGGACATGGCATGGCGTAACAGCAGCCCATCATATAGTTGGCGCAGGACGGGGCGATATGAAAACTCCAGGAATGGTTCAGTCGGCATCTGGTGGAGGCCAGTCCTGCACATGGCACTCCTTGGAGTACCGCAGGGCAGATGGACAACTTCTTGGGGTTGTGGATTCGTGGACAGATCGATGTGCGGGAACCTAAGACGTGTCAGTGTTGCAAGACTCGGGGGCAAACCTAGTTTGAGGTGATAAGTGGTACCGGTCGTGCAAAATGTTGGACACAGCTCGTTGATAGGAGTGACTGGTGTCGGCAATCGTTTGAACGGCGTGAAGACTGCGGGACTGTTCGATGTACTAGAGTTAGTAGGTGTACTAGATTCCTCCTCTTCAATCTCTCCTTCCTCCAGATCAGGTCGACTGGACTGCCTCTTCTTGGCAGAATGGGCTCTGAATTGGTTCTTTCGTCGTCGAATCTCTTCGCGGTCTTGATCAGCTCTTGCTTTCTCGGCAGCGGCGCGACCTAAAGTCGTCAGCATAGAGCAGGTCACGCTCAACGATGAAACTATACTCTGTGCGCCTAGGACGATTCTAGCGACAACGACAGGCGTGAGTGCAGAGTCTTCCATATTTCACAGTGACCCAGAAGAAAACATTTGGATATCATCGAGGTCGATACCGTGTTGAAGTCTGAAATACTTCGTGTTTGGAGGGCTGTGGATTAGCGTGATGTGAGGAAAATACGAGAAGTGAAATGCATTTGGCAATTAGTGAAGAACACAATCAGTCGTTGTTGCCTCATCCAAATCTCCCATAGCAATAGTGCTTTTTCCCACTGGCACGCCTGTGGCATCCAGGCTCATAATGTTTGCTTCAGCCTTTAAAACTGCAAGGACAATGAGTTCCAATCTCTATCCGCCGTTGCTAGCAAAGAGCCAGCGGGTATCGTAATAAACCTTCCTAAACACCTTCGCTATGTATTCAAAGATCTTGCCTGTAGTAATAGCAGCAGTAGCACACTCAATTCAAACATCTTCAAAATCTTCATCACCTTCAGACTTCATGTCAACATCAGAATCCTCCTGCTTCGGCGCTTCACCAATAGCGTCCATATACTTCTGATCATGGAGTTTGTAGTCATCTTTTAACTCCCATTTCCCATTGAAATCGCCATGCCGATGCATGATAGCAACCTCCTCAAGGTTCTCTTTGACCCATTGTTCAGGCTGGTTGAGCTTGAGGCGTAGGTCTCGTAGACCCCAATATCTGTGCTCCTCGAAATTCCTGAATATGTCCTTGAGCAGAGCTTCTTTATCCGCCCGAGCTGTACGGTTGTCCTTCGCCGCCTGCTTTTTGATATTCGCTTGCTATGTTGTGTTAGCTGAAAACTAGTAGCAGCATCCATGACGCTTACCTGTGTGATCCTGGACCTTTCATCTCTACTGATAACAGAGGCATACTGTGTTCTGACATCCGTTTGGTCCTTGATCTGAATCTCGTCTTTCTTCTTCTCCATCAGTAGTGCTCTTGTCCTTTCTGCCTCGATTCGTCGGTTCTCTGCATTATCTACAGGTACTGTTTCAGACTCGTAATGTACCGTGCCTGCAAGGGCCGTGATCTTGGGTATTGGCTTGCGAACATAAGGCGTAAATTTGCCTTTGTTCTCTTTCCTTTTCTCGTCGCGCAAAGCTTGCTCATATAGTTGCGACCGGCCTTGACCCATGTTTCCATCTTCGTCCATCTGATCCCAAACATTGGCCCTCTGCTTGTAGCCTGGCTTGTTCTTCTCGGAGAACATGAGAACTTGGCCTGGCCGTCTCCTCTTCTGCGGTATTGTTGGTTTCCTCAGCACGTATTCTTTCTCTACTTCAGTGAAGATGGGCGCATTGTTGAGCATCAAGCTTATTCGGTCGGGCTTGTCAAGTGAGCCTTCCAGCCGTATTGTGCCTAGTTCGATCTCTTCGTCGTCGCCGGCTTTAGCAAGGATCTCCCAAAGGTGTTTTGGTAGTTTCGACGTCCAGAGTAATCTATTGACCTCATCAAAGTTGAGTTCGGGGTCATCATCAGCATCGTCCATGAATGCGTCGGAGATGGCAGAGGGCGACGATGCGTCCTCCATTTTCACGTTCATATCGTCGCCTTCAAGCTTGACGGAAGGTATTGGTGCAGACATGTCGGCGGCAGTGTGTAGAATATACCAGATCAGCGATGGGCAGAGAAACCAAACAACAAATGAAAGAATGCGCCTGAACGACTCGGACGTGAAGCGCGAACGACGGTCCCGGCGGGCTGCCTTTGATGTCACTCAGTCACAGCGGAATGCAAGGGACTTGGTCGCATTCGGTTAGGCTGACCACCTGAGCACGTGACTGCAAGCAGCACTGTTTTTGACCTCACTTTCTCTGTTGACTCACCATGCTCGTGGTATGGAGGCCTTTCTTCACGGCTGAGGCTGCGAGGTACCCGAAGACGCCCAGCTCGAACCGCTTGCCACCCTCTGGCTGTATGTCTCGACAAGAGCACAGTGAAGCATAGTGGTCCGATCTCCGAATGAGGCTCTTGCCTTTTAATTATCGTAATCTCCTCCCCTACTGGCTTGCCGGATGCAAAATCCTATCTGTGTCTAGGTCGCCTGCCATACCGTCTGACTCATTCCAGCTTGCCTCCTAGCATGCGATCCTTTATCCCCATGTCATCTGTGCTGGTCTCCACCCCGCCATCCCACACTGAACAAAAAATTTCAACCAGAGAGCACAAAAACAAAAAAAAATGGTCTTAGTAGGGCTCGAACCTACAACCTTGGCGTTAACATTCGACTATTAGCACCACGCGCTGACCAATTGTGCCATAAGACCCTGTCGGAAGCCGAGTCTTTGTGACTCGATTTTGAAGACCAGAACTTGCTATTTGCAATATATACAAACTCCCGCGATCCTCTGCCGTAACTGGATCTCCTTTAAAACATAGCCCCGTTCAAGTTATATAAGTACTGTCTATATGGATGCTTCTACGTCAAACGTCACTGAAGTCTGCTCAACTCCCTATCATGCCTCTCAGGACAACATGCTGGCATAAGTCAGGCCATGTTCGAAGGAACTCATGCAGGGTGCATCTAGAACTCCTTCCATCCCATTGTATGCATCGGAGAATGTATCTCATCGCTCCTGTGGGGACAAGAATGGGTCGTTCGCGATTATTGATAGTTGCTGACGCATCCCTCATTGTACGGAGAAGACATCCTGCACCGTCAACATACTGTCCAAGTAAGGTACTGGGATCGGGGTACGTATGGTTCAATCGCGCTGTTGTTATGAAGCTGTTGCCGTCGCTGCCTACATAGGAACAAGATACCACTGCATAGAATCCTCGCTAGAGGCCTTCACACTGCCCAGCGTTCGTTGCCTCATCGTACACATCTGCTTAGCTGTTCACTTCTTTTTGGGCTTCTTCCCCTTTTTGACCTTCTTCTGCTTCCCTGTTGCGTTCTTCGTCTTCGACTGCTTGACCTTCTTCTCTTCCAGGTTCCCAATCTTGACATCGACCTCTTCTACGTTTTCATTCTTGATACTTCTCTCAGTCGCTGGTTCCTCCTTCACTGTTCTCTCCTGTGGGACTGGCTCTAACTCGATCCCGACACTCTTCATAGCCTTATCCCAAGCTCCATATACATGAATCAGATCCTCTAACTGCTTCCTGGACAGCCGATGGCCCTGTGTCTTGCCGTTGATTCTCAAAAAGGCGAGAGCGTCGCGAGCTTCGCTACCCTCGCTCGTTCGCTGTCTCAAATCAGCTGGCATCTTCTCCATTGCAGCGAGCAGCTTCTTGTTGTCGGCGTTCGGGTCTTCAGCGTTGAAACACGCAGAGTAACGTCGAAGGAGGAAATCGACGAGGTTGTGTAACTGGTTGTAGGTCAGCCTGGAGAGGTTGAGCTGCATGACCGGTATCGTGTGGGCAGCGGTGGAGGTCATGCTTGTGTGATTCTGGCGTCTCTGGTTCTGGGTTGGTCTGTTAGTAGCTGCACTGGTCGATGGTTGCAAGCGAGAGCGAGTGACCAATCTGCTCGCCGAAGCTAGATGTATAGATGTCGATGGAGATCGTGGCAAACACAACCACGGTTGCTCTTGAATTGTTGGTTCTTCTTCTATTTGCGCACTGCACAGGGCTAGAGGCTGTTTAATTGTTGAATGCGCACGAGGGCGCGCTGAGGTTATCGTGAGAATTGCCTGGCCACGAAGGATGTAAGTATAGGAGAACATGGGTAAAGATGCAAACTTGCGCTGCCAATGCTGTCAAAGCTGGGGTTCTCTCCTCCGTACGGTCTCGATGGACAACATCCTTGCGGTACCCTGCGTCAACACTATGAAACCACCTGCTACTCAGCTCGTCATCGTTGTCGATGGGGGAGTACGCCATCCTTGGTCAAGTCACTGGAACTAACAAACCCGACCGCTGATGGTGATGAAACCAATCGTTGAGGCTGGCAAGCCTAACGAGTCTTCCTCAAGCATGATGACCTGCTGTTGCTCAGTGCCCTAGCGGCAGCCTCTCATGTGAGGTTCAGATGGGAGGAACCGATCAACTCAGGCCGACAATCGGCAATAGTCCCCGGAGCTCGATTGGACATGCCTCGCTCGCCGGGTCTTATTGTATCAAGGAGATATGTAGTGACCTGGCCATAAGCCAATCTCACGAGCCATATGCAGGATAGAGCATTATAACAGCAATTACCTGGGAAGAACGTTGTCCCATATCGTCACCGCTGCAGCATGATTAGACAGACCTTGCACAAGGGATCGACGCTTGATAGTGACATGCAGCATAGGAAGGAGAACGAGACGAGATCTGGTGAGATGGCTTAATAGATTGCAACTACAAGAGCCAAGTTGATGCCTTAGGCAAAAAATACGTAAATGGGTTTGGCCAAAAGTGGCAGTCGCGTTCTCCAAGTACAGCGCGCGACGGGCAATCAGATCTGGTCCAAACAGAGCAAGTGAAATATCGCATTCTACTTTCGGCACGCCGTGAATTTCTTCGAAGCTCTCGTCCTTATACCACGCGGAGGTAGCACCGATGCGACCACGTTAGCCCTGAAACAACCGCTGGAAGGACGAGCCGACAAGATGCTCAATTTGTATACGGAGACAGCCTTCCAGGTCAAGCCCGCTGCCTCTTCAAGACGAATAGAGATTCAAGTACCTCGCGCAAACGGCTCCTATGATCGATCGAAATACTCCAAGAAGCCTGAACGACATGACCGTCTTGCGAAAGACGACAAGAGCTATGCGGCAGAATATCTTGCCAGCGCAAGTTCAGTCTTCTTCCGCCAATCGCATGCCTTTCCAAGATCATTCTTCTGGCGCATTGTGTCGAACGAGAGGATATTAGAGGTTTCGAACGCAGACTTCTCACGGCATGAAGACGACCAAGACGCTCCCACGATCCTCGCTTTCGAATTCCAGGACCAGTTATCTCCTCGCGGAATCAGCATCTGCGACTCTAGCAAGAGCAACGAATTCTACATTTTCGCCTTAACGCAGGAGAACGATGTCTTTGAGATCAAATTCCAGACGAGTTACTTCCAAAAACCCGACTCGATACCCCAGGACCTTAGCTCGTGGTGCTCTGCCATTCGAGCTTCCTCCCTATCGATAGACACAGCATTTCAGATTCATGCTTCGAACCCACAGGATGTGTTTGTGGCATTTACCAGTGGAAAGGTCCAGCATTGGAGAAGAGATGATGAGCAGCAGCAATGGACACACGTCAATTACGATGACAAGACGTGGGGTTCATCCTTTCTGAGCATAGTTAGTCGCAAAGGCCATCCTGATATCGAGTTTGAAGGCACGCGGTTGGCATACAACACTGCTCATGCCATGGTGAGAAGTGGCCAATATCTGTTTACAGCATGTCTCAACCATACCCTGCGAATATGGCATCTGGAATCTGGCAAGCTGGTCGACTCAAGAGACCTACTGGACCTGGCAAGAGATCCTCAAGAACGAGTAGCTTTAAATCCAGCCGAGCCAGGCTACATTCAGTTCTTGGAAGGCGCAAACAAGCATGAACAGATTCTCATGACATATTCGCCATTGAGCGGAGGCCAGATCAAATTATGGAGGGTCAGGAACAGCTTCGAAGACGAGACTGATCTGTTCAGCATTCAAGACTTGGTACCTGCATCTACCCTGTCGCTTCCTGACCCAGACCCGACAGGAAGTACCGTATGGTCGCTCGCTGGACTCAAGGTTATCTTTGACAAACACTCCAAGGATTGGCAGGCTTGGGTCTTGTGGAGGAATCATAATTACCACAAAGCCTACACTCTCAACTTTGGTCTAGCAGATGTATCAGATCAGTGGCAGAATAATTGGGTTACGATCGTGGCTGTCTCTACTAAGGCTCCTGCACCAGACTTTGTCTTTGTGGACGCTCAAGACGTGGTATCGAAATGGCTCGACTACCTTCTCTTTCCTGGTCGCTACTCTGTAGCCGTCCTTGAGACAGCTCTCGTACAGTACTCAACAGCCCTAGACTTGAGACTGTCCTCAAGCGACCGTAACAAGTCCCTGCAGGAGCGCATGACCTTGTTGATCGCATCGCAGGTTACTTTGCGAAAGTATGATGATTTAACTACGGACTACGAACGCTTCGCTGTTGATACAGATAAACAATGGCGGCAGTTCTGGCGGATACTAGAAAGCATCAATGAGAGTCGGTTTGCACCGCTCTCGCTGGCTGCTGATGCCGTCACTGGTGTAGTCATGCTGACCATGGCTGATATTTGCTGCACTGTTCGAGAATGCAGCAATCTTGGACTTCTTCAAACCAACACGATCACCGAACTTGAAAACTTGCAGCAAACAGCCCGCTCGCGCTGGCCTTACCGCAAGGTTGCATTCAATACTCCAGATCCCAGCAAAGTATCGGTGTTCCTAGCTGCTGCGCGAAAGTTCTTCGACTCGTTCTCGCCAGAGCTCATAGCCGAATTTCTGCAAACTCTAGATGAAGATCTCTACACGGAGTCGGAGGTTGATACACCACAAAGAATCGTCAATTTCTTCAACCAGGTCGATTTTGCAAACGCCGTCTCTGATGATTTGGACAAGGATTTCAAGAGAAGCCTATCAGCTCTTGATGGCGAGCAGGGCATAACAAACGACATATACAATGCAGCGCTACAGCTGATTTCCGAACACAAAGCACGTCATGGCAGGCCACACCAAGTCAAGACCGACTTTGGTATCCAGATGACGATGACAGCCTTACTCGAAGACATTGTGGCTATACGACACGTCCTCTTAAGCATGCTCGCTGTGACTATCTACGTCGACGAGTCCGAGAAGTTCGACACAGCACATCTCTTTGACCAACTTGTCCAGCGCCTGCGAACACAAGAACGAAATCTATGGCTTGCGACTCACTTTCGAGCGGGTACACAGGGGGCTGATAAAGGATTAAACAGCATCTCCATCCTACAAGACCTCTATGCTAATACAGTTCGCCCACAATCAACGGACAACCACCCACTCCCTTACCTTTTAACAATACACATTCAAGACAACCTTCACTTCATCTCTGGCGAATCATATCTAGCCCCAGAAGAAGCAGCAGTCTACCTGCAATGCAATCTCCTAAAACACAACGACCTCCAGCTAGCAAGCGACTTCCTCAAGTTCCAACCACAAACAGCCTGGTCAAGCTACATCAAAGGCCGCCTCAACCTCGCCCTAGGCAACACAAAAGAAGCAAGCCTTTACTTCCGCGACGCCTCACAAAGTCTAGCAAGCGGCAAAGCCCTCGGCAAACTACAAGAACTCTCGGCGGGCCTCCTAACCGCAGACGACGCATCTCA